GGTGTAATTTTGGGGGGCCGGGAACCAATTAATTGGTTTTCCATTATTTATTTATGGGAAAAATGAGATCAGAACTCGAACTTTTTAGGATTCGATCCGGAGTCCGGAACAGATTAAGTTCGAGAACCGAGGTACCACTGTACAGTGGAAACTGCTTATATTGATCATGGTTATAGTGATCAACTGCTTGTATGGATCAAAAAGCTTGGTATGGAATCATTCCTGTACAAAAATGGTTTAAATAATTTGCTTTGAGTAATCAAGTAGTCCACTTATATTGTTCACTTTTGGTCTTTTTAAACATGACAATATAAGGAAAAAATTAAAACTGCAGTATTTTTTTTACTTTATTTTGATCGCACCACTTTGCCTTGTGGTAGCCCGTCTGCTTCTGGCTAGCTACCGTAGGCTAATGCTGCGGCCATTGAAAACATGACAGGGAAAAAGAAAGTACAGTGGTACTCATTATAACTCGAATTTCTTAAAAGTCAACCAGTTTGAAAAAAATCAGGGGCAGGACACATTGTTTGGATACATTTATTTTCTTACTATACAAATTACTGTTTTGATAAATGTGCTTAGATGTGTTTAGTACAGTATATGCTCTTGTTTTATCCGGTTCATTTTGTGTTTAAATGCTAAAAAAAAACATATTTAGGTATAATTTTTTGGGGCCGGGAACCAATTAATTGGTTTTCCATTATTTCTTATGGGGAAAATTTTATCACAGCTCGAACTTTTTAGGATTTGATCCGGAGTTCTGAACGGATTAAATTCGAGTTTTGAGGTACCACTGTAATTTTCTCTCAATGATAAATATAAATATACTGGGCCAATTTAGACACAGTCAATCTATCCTCCACGCTTTTGGACCATGGGAGGAAACAGGAGCCCCCGGCAAAAACCCACGCAAACACGGGGAGAGAGTGTGAACTCCACACAGAAAGGACCTGGGACTGAACCCAGAACCTTTTTGGTATGAGACAGCAGCGCTAACCACTGCACCACCCACTGAAACTACAATATGGTATATTTTATGTACAGTACTGCATTATAGTGTATTTGAATTATACACAATTCAATAGTATGAAAAGCATTTGAATCAGCTATACTGTATTATGAACGAGTCATTAAAAGTCCCAACATAGGAACACTGTCCTATGTTTATGTCATAAATATACAAATGTCAATTAGATTGTAATCTGCCTGAGACAAAGAGAAAGAAAATTTAAAAAATGGTTATAATGATAACTATAAGTGTTTTCCATGATTGGGTAGTTTTGAAACGTAGAAATTAAGCACAAGAAGACCTAAGCCATCCCTCACAAGCTCCACAACAATCATTATTCCCTCCCGACTGAGGTGGTATCCTTTAAGTAATTTAATGTTTCCAAGACATTATGATGTGAATTGACAGCAGCTGATTTTGCGACTGTTTGTGAATTGGTCTTAGTGACGGTTTTCCCAACGTAGTCGTTCATAAACATGCAAGTAATTCAAGCAAGTATGGTACGAGAAAAACTCACCCGCGATGTCCCCAATCATCGCAGCAACTAGTTGCTCAAAGGGTGTGAGACCAGGAATTCCGCTACCTCCGTCTGTGCTGTTAAGACTCTTACGGTCTCACGGTAGCTGGAGGCGCTATCTGAGCAGCTCCATATGCCGTAATGCCCGGTACGTCCAAGGCTTACTCAGTTGCAATTAGGGCGTCACTCCCGAACAAAATAAAACCACATTGCTTAAGTTGCCCTACTACAAAGGAAAAGGGGGGAACAGAAATATCCACCATATGCAAATACGAATTAGCTCCTAGCCACCGTAATGAAGTGGCGTATTTACCAATAGACAAACTCAGCTCTGAACTAAAGCCTCAAAAGACGTGCTATATCTAAATATAAATAGCACGGTGGGACTTAGATTCCCACCGAAAGGTACGTCCCCGATATTAAAACGGGATACGACTGGAACAAAAAGAACTATTCTCTTTTTTTTTTCCGCGCCAAGCCGCGTGCCGCGTATGTCTCTTCCCGATCATGCTCCCGCCTCTCTTTTATATGTTCTCCAATCTGTAGTACTAATCCAATGATGGACAGTCCCAATCACCTATTCTTTAACAACTGCCACTATGAGGAATCAAACTAGGTAGCGCATAGAGAACAAGTTGGTACTACCTGCTCTTAAAGACACCGTACGCTTAGGCCATGAATTAATCAATCCAGCCACATACATGTAACACACTATATCAGTTACTCATCCGTATAGGCTGAGTAATGCCAGGCTACATACAATTTTGGTCCCAGAATAAGAAATGTCTTCTTACTGTCTTCTTCTCATCACGCACCACAGCATTGAATTAAGAATTAAGGTCATTGGTCAGTGGTCATTGTCAACACACCACAGCACCCAGTGCACAACAACATATGTGACTTTCGTGACATAGCAGGGGGCAGCTAATTCAGCGCCCGGGGAGCAGTGCTTGGGGACGGTACCTTGCTCAGGGTACCTTAGTGGTGACTTG